TCGAGCTGACATTCCGCTCGACACCCACTGACCTCTTGTCTTCCCAATAGATGCGGTGCCCTTTGCTCTCCATGTCGAAGCCCACCCAACGGCCAGGTTTCGCGCGCTCCCCCAGCTTGCCGGAGGACGTGTCGTGGACCCAGACCTTCACGCCCCACTCCGGGATGTCGGCAAGACGAGGGGGTCGGCCTGTTACAGCCTGAAACGGGGTGAGTCCATCCAAAGCTTTCGTCGAGGTGCGGTTCTTCAACCAAGCGGCGTGCATCAGCGCCTCTCCCCACAGGTTGCGCGGCAATCCCGACTGGATCAGCAACGCGCGGACCTTCTCCATGAGGGTACGGCCGAGCCGCTCAGAGACGCCGGCCTCCTGGTGTGTGTCGTGGACAGAGAGCTTTGACGCGATGCCCCGCTGTTGCAGGTGAGTGACGAACTCATTGCTGAGATATTCGCCGCCACGATCCGTGTTCAGCGCCTTGATGCGAGCGTGACACTGATTCTCCACCCAGGCCTCGAACGCTCGGAAGGCCTCGAAGACCTCACTCTTGTGGCGCAGCAGGTAGAGTGTCGTCCAGCGCGAAGCGTCATCCGTGAAGCTGACAAGTACGTGCGGCCGCCCAGAGTTGCAACGCGACCCGGACCCCAAACATCCGAATGGATCTCGTCGCCGAACTCCATTGGCGTTCCCCCTGGCGCTCGGTGGGAACAGGTCGACGTGTCATCTTCGCGCGAAGACAGGCTTCGCACGGCTTGCCATCGTCGTCTCCGGGTACAAGCCTCACCCTCGGATGTGGCCTTTCGAGATCTGCTCCTCGACAGTCCGTATGGCGATGTGACCGAAACGGCGATGGGCTTGTGCGCGCGTGAGCGTCTGGGTACGTTCGGTCGACTTGTTGAGCGTTGTAGCAACCGCAGCTGAGGCGTCTTCAGCTTTACGGGCGAGGTACAGCCCACGCGACTTCGGTATGCGGCCTATAACGTTCCCCTTTGCGTCGGCGATGACGCACTGACCCCCGGCAAAGGTAGCGGCATACCCGGCGTCGTCAATCCGGCCGACGGAGACGAGTGTATAGCCGAGGTCAGGTGTGTAGAGAACGTTTTTGAGGCGGATCTGCGTCGGGACTGACGGAGAGTTCGGCACAGCGAGGATGACGTCCCCAACCCCAAGGGCAAGGAACTCCTGCTGGTTGGCGGCAGTGAGAGAACGTGGCGCGGTCTCCCGGAAGGTTACAAAGGCTTCGCGACGCGGCGACATGTGGTGAGTTGCTCCCGAATCGTACAAGTCAACATGGCGAGTTGACACTGCAGCGGCAAGCAGCGTGACAGCGGCAGCGATCGGGTCGAGGGGAGCGTCCTCCTCCTCGAGCTCTTCAAGCATATCAGCCCGATCTTGGTCGTCGTGGCCATCCGTCATGGTAGCGACCCAGTTGTCGATGCGCGAGCGAAGTGTGGTGAAAGCGGCAAAAAGAGGCTCCAAAACTGTGGCGTCTAGTTCGAGCTCTTCGGCGTTGGATCGCGGGCCCAGTAGGATGGGTGGAACTCCTGTTCGCTGCCAGGCTCCTCGTCGTCGGAGACTGGCTCAAGTGCGGGCATGGAGGATGCGTCGGAAGTGGTCTCCTCTGTGAGTGAAGTGTAATCGGAGCGGGCGTCGTCCGACCACGTCGAGTCTTCACTTGCTGACGCCGAGTCTTCATCGCTAGACTCGAGCCAAGGAGAGTCGGCACGGAGGTGTGCAGACCAAGCGCCACCGACGTCTTCATCAACTTCCTCAATGAACGCACTCGCGACCACGGCAGCTGCGATAGGCTTAACGACAGCCTTGGAGTCGTCCTTGCGAGCGACGTTCTTGCCCTTCGCGTCCTGCTTGGGGCTTGGACAGTCGGCCTCCTTGTGACCCTTCCCACCGCACGTCCAACAGACGCCCACAGGGCGCCGCGGTCCACCGGATCCCTTCCCCTTCCCCTTCCACTTTGGCTTCTCCGACGACTGGACACTGGCGGCGACACCAGGATCCTTGGCCTTGGCCTTCGACGTCTTCTTCTCGCCCTCCCGACGTTCCCACTCTTCAAGCAGGATACTGATCATCTCATCGGGTTCGATCGCAGGCTTGTCCTTCGATGAGGTCGAGACTGCAGCAGTGGTCGAAGACATCGCAGCGGCGATTGCCGCTTGCTGCAGCTTCGCCTGCGCGGAGAGTTGGGCGATGAAGCCGGAGAGTTCGGAGGGGACAAAGTTGATGATGACGGAAGCGTACTCGGTGTCCGCGATCTCGACGTCGTAGGTGAGAAGGTCTTCGTAGGCGTTCCGGAGACGGTCGAACTCATCATGCATGTTCACACCCGCAGTTGCACGCATGTTCAGGAAGTCGCGGCGAAGATTTGACCGCTGGAGAAGCGTCTTCTTCGAGAACTCGGCTACGAGGGCGGCCCAGATCTCCGCGACGGTGCCCTTGCGCTTGAAACGGTTGTACGTGCTTGGCGCAAGCTTCAGCGTCAGAAGGTAGAGGGCTAACGTCTCCTTCTTCTGCCAGTCGTTCAAAGCGGAGAGCTCGGCAGCGGTGGGGGCATCGACGTCCGCGGGAGTGGGGTAGGGCTTCATACCATTGTAATGAGTCCACGCCTCCTTCTGTTGCACCGCGATAGTGAACTGCTGTTGGAATGCCAGCCAGTTCGAGCCCTTGGCGTCGAGCTTATCGAACCCGTTGATGAAGTCGGAGAGAGAGCCGGATGACATGATAGATGCGAGTGAGGGAGGATGGGAAGCGAGATGGCAGGGTAGCGTGTAAGTTGAGTCTTGCTAGGTAAGGCCTTCACGCAGGGCTCATAACCTGTGAGCGGTAGCAGCTGTAGTGATACGCAGTAGACCTCAGTACGGTGCGCTCGTGCAGAGTGCAAGACTAATATATTCTGTACCTGTAGTGATACGCAGTAGACTACAGTACAGTGTGAGCAAAAGCAAAATGCAGCAGGATAAAGAAATGCGCGCTCACCCTCAGTACGGTGCGCTCGTGCAGAGTGCAAGACTGAGGGCGGCGCTGCGCGGGCGGGACAGTATAAGTGACTGACAGGACTGATGGCTACGGACCGGCGCGCGTGTATGTAAGCAGGAACGAGAGAACGCGAGGCAAGCGGAAGCGGAATGGTATCGTAGGATAGACCATGGAAAAGCTAAAGTCCGGGCGGCATCAAGACAAGGGCGAGCGCGCATCGCGCGCACCGCGCGATGCGGGATCAGTGTGCCGCGCGCGCGCGCGCACAGCGCAGACGGCCAACGTCCGGTGACGCGCCGCGTGCGGGGCGCGGGTTGTGCTCCAACAGTGGTGGCCTGCGTGGATGCGGCAATGCCCTGCGCGGACGCGGGAGCAGCCTGTGCGGACGCGGCGACGGCCTTCGCGGACGCAGTGACAGCCTGCGCGAAGGTCTTCTCAGGGGTGGTGTTTGTGGACTCGGGTTCATGTAAGCTGAGATCCACTCAGACTCGAAAATAAATATACTCACCTTTGTGATCCCCAGCTTGTTGAGCACCTTTGTGGTGCTCTCCTTCATTGCCTGTGCCTTCTCAGTGAGGATGCGCGATCGCTTTGGGCGATCAGCGTTGTCGGGGGACGCGGCGCGCTTTTTGGAGCTATCGGTGGGCTCAAGGGTGGGAAGGGTGTTCGACATGATGCTGAGTTCGAGAGTCTACGAGTGGTGGGACTGATGATTCTGTGGAGACTCGAGTGGCTTGAGGGTTTTTATAGAGCCAGAGGCGTTAGTCAGCAACTGTACAGTTGGTGGCGTCCACTCACCATGTGCAGAGATCAGCCACAGGTGAAGAAGCGCGCAAGGAGATGCGAGCTTCGGAGGACGTTCAGTAGGCGCTAAATTAGCCTTTACGGGCGCGGGTTCCCGTGGGATCCTCATGGCGGGCCGGCGGGTCGGGCGGACCTCACCCGCACCCGAACCCTTGACACCCGTTCCCGTAACCCTGCATGGGTATCCCGCACCCGTGGTGATCACTAGTCAAGGATAAGCAGCAGTGCCTCTTCATAGTCAGTAGGTGTGATTCGGGGGGTGCTGTCCGCGTTCATGGTGCTCTCAAAGCTGAGCTGAGAGCTCTGCGATGCACCTGGCTCTGAGTCCGAAGTCATTGTGTGCATTCGGACTATCTTGATCCATGTTTGGCGCCGCTGAGGGCTTGAACGTACAGCACGCACGATCTTGCGAAGCTGTAGGCATTGTGGCAGTTGTATCAGCATATAAACCATCTCACCGCAGTGGAGCATGCGGAACGAGTCAGCCCCCGATGCAGTTCCTAACCACACGCAATTCGTGCGGCTCCCTGCGCGATGCGTGTGCCGGCTCCCCGCGCGCGACGCTTGCACTAGCTCTCCACACGCGATGCATGCGCTGGCTCCCCACGCACAGCGTGAGGTGTGCAGCCGCTTCCCACGCGCGAGGTGTACGGATTCAATCCCGCGCGCAAGGTGTGCGGATTCAATCCCGCGCGCGAGGCCGCGAGGCGTGCGGATTCCCGCGCGCGAGGCCGCGAGGCGTGCGGATTCCCGCGCGCGAGGTGTACAGCTCCCCACGCGCGACTCCGAGGTATGTGACAGCTCCCCGCACACGAGGTATATGGCTCCCGCGTGTGAAGTGTATAGCACTGCAGCTCACCGCACGCGATGTGTGCAGCTTACCACGCGCGGCGCATGCAGCTTACCGCCTGCGCCGCTCGTGATGACTTGCTGCACATAGTGCATCCTCCGTGCAAGTGTGCGATCCCTACTAGTAGTAGTATGGGAAGATATGCACCTTTTCCACGGCGCTTTTGACCTCATCGTGTCCTGAACCGGGCTCTGGGGGAGGCTCTTCTTCGTCTACAGTGTCGTGACTCTGCGGCTCAGCAGAGAGGGGCAAGCTGATATCGTCTTGATAAGTATGGGAAGCTGCAGAGCCCCTGGGCAAAGCTCCAATTGTTTCGAGCAGCTGAGGGTAGTGTAGTAAGTCATCGGTACTTCACCACATCTAACAGTAGCAAACCTGAAGTGCAGCGAGGTGTATCGTGTGCGGAATGCAGCGCATTCGTGCTGCCTTTGCAGAGAAAGGTATGTTTTCCTTCTTGCATCGTGCCTCGATGCCTGTCATCATTGTGTCATTGTTGGTCGCATTGTCACTGTTGATAGCTATGACCTTAGAGAACTGGTGTCAAGATACGAAGAGTTTGGCATTAACACAATGGCGACATACCCTTCCTTTCAGACCGTATGTTGACATGGTATGCCAGACGCTATCAGCGAGATTCTCGCCTGAATGCTCTCCTTGCAGCTCTCTGAAATCGAGCAGCACTTCTTCTGATAATGTGTGTTAGTTTTGAGGCCTGCCATGTACACAGAGTGCTCGAAAACGTACCAAGCTCCCATTCCGCATTCACATAATGCATAACAATCGCTAAGAAAGCGACACCATTGCTTGATGTCCATGCATCGACAGCCAAGCTCACCATTCACTCGGTGGCAGTGCTGTAGCCCGTCGGTAACGCCCATACGAGGTGCCCGCGTTGCCGTCGGTAACGGCCATACGAGCTCGTACGAGCTTCGGTAGTGTAGCCGTCCGTAACGGTCGTACGAGGTATTTTGGAGGATACCTTTGGTTCCTGCATAGGGCCTTTGCACGGCTTCCCTACATGTAAAGAAGTAGTAATTCGTACCACAAACAATGCGAATAGCACTGTGCTACCCTACACCGGCATTACCGAGGCCATCCTTCCTCAGACTCAAGATCCTGGCCCATACTCGGGGCCCTCAGGCCGGCACGCAATTCATCTCCATCAACGCATGGAATACATTGCCGCAGACCTCCGCGGCACTTAACAGCTGCTTGTGTCACCATATGTGCGGTGTTTGTCCCGCAACGGTAGAAACAACCTCGGTAGTCGTACGAGCCTGTATCCCGTCCGGGACGGTCGTACGAGCTCCCTCAGGCGACACACACCAGAATTGTTGTAATGCATTTAGTACGTAGCCACGGCCGTCCTGATCACATACCGACTTGTATTGCGGCCGTGCGCGCCGTGGTTACCCCGCGGCGATGCGCACACTGCCGGAGCTCGTACGAGCGTGTACCCCGTCCGAGACGGTCGTACGAGCTACCTCAGCCGGCACGCACCGGAATTGCGGTAATGCATGTAGTACGTAGTCACAGACGTTCTGAGCACATACCGACTTGTATTGCGGCCGTGCGCGCCGTGGTTACCCCGCGGCGATGCACACACTGCCGGAGCTCGTACGAACATGTACCCCGTCCGAGACGGTCGTACGAGCTCCGGCAGGCGACACACACCAGAATTGTTGTAATGCATGTAGTACGTAGTCACAGACGTTCTGAGCACATACCGACTTGTTTTATGGCCATACGTGCGGTGGTTACCCCGCGGCGATGCAAACACTGCCGGAGCTCGTACGAGCGTGTACCCCGTCCGAGACGGTCGTACGAGCTACCTCAGCCGGCACGCACCGGAATTGCGGTAATGCATGTAGTACGTAGTCACAGACGTTCTGAGCACATACCGACTTGTTTTATGGCCATACGTGCGGTGGTTACCCCGCGGCGATGCAAACACTGCCGGAGCTCGTACGAGCGTGTACCCCGTCCGAGACGGTCGTACGAGCTACCTCAGCCGGCACGCACCGGAATTGCGGTAATGCATGTAGTACGTAGTCACAGACGTTCTGAGCACATACCGACTTGTTTTATGGCCATACGTGCGGTGGTTACCCCGCGGCGATGCAAACACTGCCGGAGCTCGTACAAGCTCGTATGGGAATGCAATTACATAAGTAAATCAACACCGAAGAGTGACGACGGAGCCGATTGTCGGCATTCAGAAGGCGGAGCTAATACCGAACCTTCAATACCGAGCGCCAATACGGCCCTTATCAACGAACAAGGGGTCTCACTGCTACATCACCAATCCCCCCACTACCATGTGTTTCCTGAAGATCAAAACCGGTGTATACTACGTGGAAATTGTGTCCCGCGTAGTAGAGGTCACTGTTGCTTTCCTCACCAAGA